GGCAAACTTTCTTCCCAAGTGGCAGGTCTCGTCTGCCTGAGCAGAGGCAGCTTCGTGATGAAGTACAGAGCATCAAAACCAGGCAGCAGGCAGCATGCTAAGGGGCTGTCCCAAACCAGCCCAAGAAAGGTGGCCCCAAGGGCCACCTTTCCTTTGTACAAAGCCTATTACCATTGGATTATTGCTCAGAATTGCTTGACAATCCTTGACCTACTGCAGCAGTTAAGATTTTGTTCGGGGAACTAGCACCAGCCAGAACCACCATGTTTCCGTGAGACCACTAGCACTAAATGAAACCTTTTCTTACTCTTTCATTCAAATGCAGTTGTGAGAAGGCAGAAGCAGTCACTGCAAAGGCTGATAATGTCTCCCTGTGCTATGTCTGCAGAACACCAATCCCTTTCCCTCCCCTGACTCCAGGCCAGCCCTGAGCTCTACCATGGCAAGAAGGAGAGCACAACAAAGCCTCCTGTAGCGAAGCAGCCCTATTTCAACAACAAATAAAGACAATAACCAGCCTCGGACAAAGAGACCAAAAGTGCTTAGGGTGCTACAGGCTCAGGATGAGAATCACCGAGGGAGCTGTGGGGAGTGTGGGAGGGGGTTAAGGGGAAAAGCTGAGCTCATTGCATCCCAACCAGACAACATCAGGCAGGAAACAGATGTGGAACAAACCACAGAGTGGTACAGCAACTGCAGAATTAACTCTCTGGCAAATGGGGGAAGCTAAGGCATGCAGAGCTGACCTGCAGGTTGAGAAGAAGGTGTCTAATCCAAGATCTGGCCTTTTGCCATCCTGGTATCACCCCCTTGCCCTGCCTCTAGACGCCACCATAATCAAATTGAAGGAAATGCCTCAGCCTTTCTCTAAGTCCTAGCTGGCTCTAAGAAAATGAAGCAAAGGTGGATCTGAATCAGTAGTGGTTCCTAAGCAAAAGGCTGGATCATCTTTTACCAGCATAATCCAAGTTTTGTAGATGCTGTGGCCATTTCCATTTAGAAAGCATGGAAGCTGTACCTGGTTATATACCTGATACTCCAGTCTGAATCTCCCAAACTAGGAATACTGGAAATATTAAGCTCCATTTTGACTTGGTTCCTCTCATTCTAACAGCTTTGACTCTTTCAGCCCCCTCTTACAGCAATTCTTTGATATGACCAGAAGCAAGGCTACTCTCTCTGACTGTTCCCTTAAGCAGAGCAAACTGTCTTGCCTCAATTAAGGTTTGTGCACAGCCTTGCGACTTGTCTTTTCTGTTGGCCAACCCATCATTATACATTTATATTGTTGTTACAACAGGAACTGGGGGCCCAACATGCAGCTCTCATTAACTTCAGCAGAAGCACTATCTGCTTTTCTCTGCTGGACACCTGGCTGATTATCCAGAGGCTAAAATATAACTCTAATATGAACCATTCAGGGTTAATACCCACCAGCTCCGTTGCACTGCTATAACATTTTAAGACACTCCAGCCACAAGAAAATGTTTTAGTGGGGGCATTAGTGCAAACCTCCTCCTGCATGGGTGCCTACCCATGCCCCAGACCTGCTTTCTAGTGAAGGTTTCATAATCCAGAAGACCATTTGTCTCCATGTGTGAATTCAATGCTGGCAGAGACAGAAGAGGCACCATATGAAATCAGAAGCCTTTTACTCATTGGTATTGCAGTCACCAGTCTTTTATGGCCTATGGGACCTTTTCCTCAAATCCACTACTATCCAAGACATTGTTTGGAAATGTCTGTGTGGAGGAAGAGCTGCTAGTTCTTCCCCAAGCTTCTAGCCAGCAGAAGGACCTGAAAACATAACTCAGATGCACACTGACATGTCAGAAAACAGAACGCAGTAAAAGAACCCAGCACCGTTTTTTATTTTATCTCATGATTTTTGTGGCCTGACTCATGACTTCAGATGCTTTGGAGCACTGATAACAGTCTGCCTCTGTAAGGAGCATAACCAGCCTCTGTGTCGAGACTGCCAGCAGGAAAAGGCCAAGTAGGGTCAAACGCAGCTATGACAGGAGCTGCCTTGAAATATGGTAAATCCAACACAGCCAGGCTTCAAACCACCAGACAGCAACATCTACCTGTCCATCACCACTGATTTTTAATCTCCTGAGCTACCCTGCTGTACCTGCTAAAGTCTTTACATCTACACCGCTCCTAAATATTTTGTAATTCTGCCACAGCTTTTATTGCATTATATAAAGCTTATGACAACTGAGCCCTGGGTACGGCCGTCTGATAAGGGAGACCAAGAGATCTTTCCACCTTTCATTGAAACACAGCCATCTCTGATGTAGCAAGTTATTAAACAGTTAACGTGACAAGAGAGGAAATGCTGATACCTTAAGCAGGACTGAATTCCCTCCACTGGAATTTGGCAAGGACACAGGGACTAAGGTCCATACAGAGCACACAAGCTGCTCTTCAACGACCGCAAGCATGCAGGGACCCAACTCGTGTATTGCCTCCACGAAGCATCGCATGAGTAGTGCAGCACCCCCTAACTGTAACCACTGTGCATTCATCCAGATCAAAAAAAGGCAAATTGATTTGTCTGTGCTAGCCACTCCCTTTGCCATCTCTGCCCCAGCACCAGCAGTGTGGGACTCAGCTTGTCTTTGTGTGAGAGTGCAGGACCCATCACACAAAGCAGCATTTTGGGGCAGCACCTGAGCTCAAATGCAGAACCAATCTGACCCTCCCTACAGCCACATCTTCTTTCCCAGTTAACCCTTCTGGGTGCGTTTTAGAACCTGCTTTCCGCAGCAAACCGTTTCCTGGACAGCAGCCAAAGCGCTCTACCCCTCCTCAGCACTGCCAGCTACCATGAACGGTCTTGTATCATCGCTGCTTCCAAGTAGGGAACAACCAGAGCCAGCATCCCACCAGTTAAACGCAGAGCACAGTCTAAAGCAGTCAGAAAGTTATTGCTTTATGCCTCTGACACAGCCTCAGCTTGCAGGAGCGCTGGCTTGTCACTGAGAACTGCTCTTAGCAGAACAATTTAACCTCAAACCAGCCACCTCTCACACCCTGCTTGTTCTTCTGATCTTGTTTCACAGTTACAGGCTGCATATTTATGATGTCCTGGTGACATCTGAACACTAGTTTCTTCTCAAGAGGCCACGCTGGTCACATTCCTACTGATCCCGAGAGCCCTACTAGCAGAGAAACAAGTTATCTCCAGTTCTCTGACTTCTTCTCCCACTATCCCAACAGTTTGAATTGTACCAATACAACTTACACTCTTCCCAATAAACCTACAACAATTGAGCCTTTCATTTCAGGATCCCACAGCACTGGGCAGCGGGATGTGCTATTCAGCAAACAGCAGCACTGTATAAAGGGAAAGGGACTTCGTGTCCTACCCCGGCGCTCCTCAGCACAGAGAGTTAAGTAGGTTGGAACTGCGAACCATCCCACAGATGAGACTAGAGACAATGTCCTTCTTTCTTGTGCCCCAAAAACAATTTTAAAGGACTATAGGATTTCTGGTAATAAATCTTGCTGGTTTTGCAAAATTTCAGCTGCAGTAATTACATTTCTCTCTTAAAAATGCCCCTCACTGCTTCAGCTGAATGTACTCTCTGTACCTGCCTTCCCTGCATTGTTTCTACTGTCCCTGTAAACAGCTGTAAGCTGTTCCTCTGCTGTGGTAGCTCGTGTGAGCAATGAATGGAATTTATCTAACTGCATCTTGTGCTGGCAAAGTGATATCAGTTCATTAAGTCTGTTACTTTGGCTGTTTCGACTCAGTTGCCATTAAGGGCTATATAAGTTAAAAGATATAGTAATTGTTACTGTCGTCTCACAATGAAATGGAATGTCTATTTTTCTGCCATACCTAAATAAGTGCACATATATAACGTTTTATCTTAGTGATATATGCACTGTCCTCCTCCCTGTGCAGTGGAAAGGGCTGCTGCTAAGCAGTCCATCCCGCTGCCACTGTACTTCCACACTGCACTTCATCAGCCATGCTCATCAGCAAATGAAAGACCTGATTGTACAGCCCTCCTCCCCGTACAAAGCTGACATTGCTGCTGGAAGCTTTTTTTGCTCTGAGTAGCCTGGCTTTGGTAAAAGTTAGTTAACTCCGACTGGCACACAGTGCTAACAGCAGGGATGGGAACAGGCGCGTATTTATTTTTCCTCTTCCTAAACTGCCGGTCTTTCTGTACACCAAACTCTCAGCTGCTTCTCTTATCCTCCAACCCTCTTTCAGAAAAAAAAAATCTTGTGCTCCTTCCTGCACCCGCGACTGATCACTTCAAGCCTGGGACCCTCTGTTCTTATCACTGTTATCTCTTGGCTGAGCTACCGTGTTCCCATCCGATATCTGGGGGCACGGAGGTCAGGGGGAGGAGGCAAGGAGGGAAAGATAACAGGCAGGGTACTGAAAATATTAGCTCAGCTGCCCCCAGCACCTCACACCCATCCGTTCTCCATCCCCAGCCTCCGTCCTGCCTCAGCCCGGCAGCAAAAGGGCGATATGGGACCTGGAGTCAAGGAGGGGCGGACAGGACATCCTCAGCTTCCCTCTACAGGCCCTGCCATGCTCTCCTCTTACAGACTTTGTGAGGATTTGGGGGTTTGGGAGGAGACAACGCTCTGCTTTCCAAGCCTAGCTCCCTAAAAGCCTGTTACCCCCACTCCCAAAGCCAAGGGGATGGGAGAGGGCTGCACAGCATACGCCTGGCTGTCTGTCCCCACTCACACAGCCCTGTCCCTGTCCTTTCCCCACTCATTGCTACTCATGCAAGGGGCATGCAGGCGCATCACCAAAGCAATCCTCTGCTCATTCATTCATTGCGAGTGCCTGGGCAGTGACTCCACTTCCCACAGATAAAACAGCTCCAGGTTGCTTAACCCTCACCCTTGGGAGAGGTTCGGTTTCCAGTCCCGCTGACGGAGAACAAGCAAACAGACAAACCCCAAAACAGGACGCGCGCTCTGCTCCTCCACAACCAGAGTGAGAATAAAGAGGCATTTACCATCCTGCCCAGAGCTCTCCAGATGCTCCGTCAGGTCGCAGCCGAACGCGCTCGCGGCTCCCTTCCTCTTGAGCTTCTGCTTGGCTCCCTTGTTCTTCATGAGGTTAGTCCCAAAAGAGGTTTGCCCCCCTCCTGCCTTGCCCCCCTCCCCCCGGCCTCACGCTGGGAGGCAAAAAGCTGTCTCTTCTCCTCAGACCACCGCCCGTGTCCCGCTTCCAGGGGGTAGCATCGGGGGTCCCGCGCGGCGTCCGGCTGGAGAAATCAACATTAATCCCCACCAGATGTTGGGCTGCTCCGGCAGCAGGGGAAGGTCAGGGTGCGAGGAGGCTCCCCAGCCGGCAGCAGCAGCGATCATAGCCCGAGCCCGGAAGGCTTCGCATCGAGGGGAAGCCCGTGGTGAACGGGTGCCAGCATCCGAGCTGTCGAGATGGTGCTGGTGGTGGTGGTGGTGGTGGGGACGCCTGTTCCTCAGCGCTGTCCCGGGACCCTTCACGGCCACCCTTCTGGGTTTCGTCAGCCGGGCTGTCGCCGCCACCAGCCGCAGGCGTCCCGCTCTGGTCTTCCTTCTCCCAGCTTTCGGAGGAGAGTGGGAGCTCCAGCGGGCTGGTGGAAAGGGACTGGGGAAGAGCCTGTGCGAGGCTCCTCGCTGGCTCCCCCCCTTCCCCTCCTCCTGCCGTCGTCGGACAGCGAGAGGAATGAGAAACCAGCTTCCTGTCCTGACTCCCTCGCCCGCTCTCCCTCCTTTCCCCCCCTTTGACAAATCCTAGGATTATCCAGCTCAAAAAAATGCTGAAAGGAAGTTAGCCGAGGAGGAGCTCTGTGTGTGTGTGTGTGTGTGTGGAGGGGGGTGTAAGGGGGGGGGGGTGGACTTTTTTTGGCAGTAAATTGCGTTTGTGCGCAAGAGGCTGAGGGGAGGCGGAGAGAGGAGTTTGGGGGACGGGGGGGAGGAAGAGGGGAAGCCTTCCCTGCCCGTGGGCAGATAACGGGCCGCCAGAGGAAATCACGGCTCTCCCAGCCCTGCGGTCGGGCGCTTCCTGCGCTGCCAAGGCTCAGCCCTGGAAAGGCCCGAGGAAGGGCCAGAGAAGGAGGAGGGAGGCCAGGAGCTGCTCCAGGAGGTCTCTGCCTCGGCTGGCTGGTTCCTCCATGCCAAGGCATCCCTCCACCGTGGCTCTGTCCCCTCAGGGGCATGGGCTGGGGCTGGCAAAGCGTGAGACGGGGGCAGAAAGTTGGGAAACTGAAGCGGGGGGAGGCGGGAAGCCCTCAGCTCCCTCCTCCCCGGCTCCCCGCCCAGCAAGCAGAAACAGATGCCATCCGGGCACTGAGGTTCCCGTGCTGTGAAGTCAGATCCCAGAAAAGGCTGCCCTCTGCCAAAGAAAGGGTTAGGAGGCAAGGGACAGCAATCCCCCAGTGGAGGCAAGAAAGAAAATTGGATGGGCTTTCCCTCAGCCTCGATACCTGCCCTCCACCAACACCTCTCTACCCTACCCTACATGCATCTCTGCTCATGAGGGCCCCTTCTCTTGCCCCTTCTCCACATTTTTTATTCCAGAAACTCAGGCCTCCTTCCAGAGCTGGGAATGCCTGTGGGCTACACGCTTCTTTGCAGGAGGCAAGCTTAGCTCTGCCAACACTTCACTGACACCTCTTGCCACACGCCACTTGTCAGTCCGTGGGTCTCAGTGAAAAATAAACAAACAAGCGAAAACTGGACCTTGCAGCTTTTCACCAAAAATGAGTCATATTCTGACCGAAGAGCTTTGGTTTGGAGGAAAAATGGCCAGGAAATGGGGCAAAGGACTCCCTCAACCTCTGTCTTGCCTCAGCTCCTACCAGCACAGAAAACCTGCCTCCCCCCACAGACCCACACTCCTTTATTTTAACAAAGATATTCAGATAAATCAAGCCTCGTTGCAATCCTTCTGCTGTCAAAAGCCATTCAGGTTCTGTCGCCTTGGTAGGGTGACTTTTTTTTTCTTTTTCCTCAGAAGGGTTGAATGTTATCACGTCACATACGAGAAAAAACACCACGAGCCCTAGAGAAGGACCTTGAGCAATTATAACTCCTATTGTGCAGCTTATCTTTGCAATTAGTGCCATTATCCTCATTTTATAGCGCGATGGCTGATGGGAAGATGATTTGCAGAAGGGTATCAGAGAGATGGCTGGTCTGTGGGCCCCCAGCCTCCTGTTCCTTCTCCTAGGCTAAGAGGGAAGTCTGAGCTCTTCTGACCAGACCCACAGCTGTTCTTGGGAACCCTCTGTGCCCAGACAACAATTAAAACTGATATTAATTTATCCTGGGCTTCTCACGGCACCTCGGTGTTGGGTTGAGATCCTTCCCCTTAACGGCACTCTGCCAAACCCATCGCTTGCCACAGTGCCTCCTGGCTGTCCTCTACCACCTGGGTGGCTGGCCACCTTCTGTAGGAAGAGAAACCCATCTCCTTGCACCTTTTGGTGGGAAGCATGTCCACCTGCTCACATCAGCCCTCTCTGTGATGCTCAGCCCCAGCTCCACTCCAGCTGGCGAGGGCAGCTTCACCACCATGAGCCACCACGCGTTACTCAAAGTCCAAAACAGCGTGGTGGATAGGGTGACAGAGGCACTGTGAGGAGTGAGGAGCTCCAGAAGAGGCTGGGATGAAGGGGTGGCATGTGCTGCACCACGACAAGGTTCAGCATGAGGACAGAGAGGATTGCCCGGGGAGCCTGGGCTGAGAGGAGAAGGAGGAGGAGGAGGAGGTCAGGCAAGGTGAGGGGGAACCAAACAAGAGAGGCTTTACAAACAAAGCACTTCATATCACAGCCTGGAATCAGTGCTGAGCCAGGGGATTTTTCTGAGGGAAAGGGGCGATATTCTCCTCCACAGAGTTAAAAATAAGAAGTCTGGATTTGCATGGCCTGGAAGGCAGGAAAGTCTCTGCAATAGCAGGGGTGAGCCGTGGTGTTAAGATGCCAGTGTGCCTCCTGGAAAAGTTTTCTCTGATGAGGACATGCAAAGCCAGAGAGGAAAAGTGCTTGGGCCAGATGTATGGAAAGGAAAAAGTAGTTTAAAGCTGAAGCAGTTGGAAAAGAAGGGGGAATTTTTTGAGGAGAGGAGAGGAGAGGAGAGGAGAGGAGAGGAGAGGAGAGGAGAGGAGAGGAGAGGAGAGGAGAGGAGAGGAGAGGAGAGGAGAGGAGAGGAGAGGAGAGGAGAGGAGAGGAGAGGAGAGGAGAGGAGAGGAGAGGAGAGGAGAGGAGAGGAGAGGAGAGGAGAGGAGAGGAGAGGAGAGGAGAGGAGAGGAGAGGAGAGGAGAGGAGAGGAGAGGAGAGGAGAGGAGAGGAGAGGAGAGGAGAGGAGAGGAGAGGAGAGGAGAGGAGAGGAGAGGAGAGGAGAGGAGAGGAGAGGAGAGAAGCATTTGTGTGCGAATGAAAGTAGCATGGGTAATGACCATGTAGTCCTTCTTGTTCCCACAGGTGGGGTGTCCATGGCCCCAGAATCAGATGGTGAGCCTTGGGAAGAGACTTGGCCATGAGGCTTTCCCTCCTGCGGGCCTGGGGCTGCACCAGAGGTGTCACGAGGGCTATTTCTGTTCACCCACCTCTCCCCTCCTGGCCACGTTTCCGTCGTTGTGTGGAGCTCTTCCCTGCCCATGGCTTTGAAATCTCCACCGACCTGCCAGGCGCCACTCGGCACAAAGGATCGGCTGGGGGCGGGGGGGGGGAATGGAAGAACTGTGGGGGGGTGGGTTCCCCTAAAAATAGCCCTGCCGAGTAGGACTGTTTTCCTGACACAGACGGGTCATTGTTAGACCCTGACATGCCAGTTCAACCTCCCTCCCCGCCCCTCCGCATACTCTCTTTCCTCCCCTGCCCCTCTCCGTCCCGTTTCCTGCCTACTCCCATCGTATTGTGAAGCCTAAAGCCTGGCGTGGAGGCTTTTGTTTCTCTGAATATCCATCGGACTACAAATTTGGGGCTCCTCTCGTCACAGGGCACCCACCACTCCCAGTTCCGAACACCCCCTGCTCCCAGTCACAAGTCCTGTTTCCCCCAGTTCTCACCTTCCCACTTCCCAAAGGACCCTCTTGCTCCACAAAGTGACCCACCTCCTTTCGTGTGTCCATGCAACAGGTCTCCCAGCACTTTGTTGCTACTAGGAAGGTAATAGCACCTCACCTACAAACAAAGGAGACACCTACCGATCCCCTGAATTAGCCTAATACCTCAATATTCGGTTAACAACTATGCTACTACATACTACTACATTTTTAACCAGGCAGCCTTCACCCAGTGTTCATAGTCATGTCAGAGGTGTTTTGTGCAGAGAAAAAGAGGTGAAGAACATATCTGTTTTCCCTTGCTCAGACCATAAACTTGTCTGAATGGTTGTTTAATTCTGTGTTTGTGCAACATCTAGCACGGAGGAACTCTAATTCTTGACAGGGGATTCTAATTATTCTTTGTTTAAACAATATAAAAACCATTCTAGGAAGACTTTATGTTTCCCAGTGTAAAACTCCATTGATAGTGCAATAATATGCAACAGTATTAGAGAGCAAACATTCAGAGGAAAACCTCGTCCAGACCAGCCGCACAGCTAGCAAAGGCTTCCTTCATCTCAGAGGCATGCTCTGAGCCCTCTCCATGCATCTAACCAATGAGATGACCCATTTGGTGAGGCAGGACGGCCACAAACCTCACACCATGGAGCCGTTCCAAGCTCACACAGGCCCTTTCATGAGCATCTTGCCAGCAGCCTTTTGGATAACACGGAAGAGGCAGCTGGCATCTCTGTGCTGAGTACGAGCAAGACAGCACATCGTAGAGAGAGATGATTCTTCAATGCATTGCCTCAATGCAACTAGCAGGAATAAGCGCTCCCACCAAACTGAGAAAGTTTTTTTGGTCTCACTTTTTCCCCCTGACCAGGTAACCAAAGAGGCCTACAGGAATTAAACAACTCGCTTAAAACTATTTTTTTTTATCTATAGCAAAGTAAAAAGCCAACAACACCTATGAATGTGGGAAATACTTTAGACTGTAATTTCTATTCTTTGCTCCCCAAGTCTTATCAGCCTGTGAAGACAGGTGATAACCAGGATTCTCAAGCACAGTCAGCATCTCTAGGAGCTGAGAAAACTTAACAGGGGAAGAAAATCCTGAGGAGATCTATCACTTCAGACACCCTTTCCTTAGTCGCTATGTCCAGCTGCTATATGACCACAGC